TTTGCCATTAAGTGACGTGAAGAATAACAAATAAAACATTCATTAAAAAAGTTTTTTCAACCTCTATATGAGATAAATAAGCAATAAATACTAAAAAAACAGCTATTCTAAGCCGAATTGTTGAAGCGTTCAGGTATTTTCGAGTAGTGAACGATCGGTGTGTCATTGTTTGATCGGTTGTATAATGGGTAAGAGTGAATTCGGAAGGTAGTTTTGAGAAAACGGCTTTTTAAACTTTTAGCTATAATTAAGCATGTAGATATTGCAATATTCTATACACTTAATTATGGATTCAAAGTAAGTTTAAAAACCGTTTTTGTAAAAACTTTAATAAATTTTAACGACAAATAATTCTCAATCGTGATTGGCATACAAAGCTCTGTTTAATTTAGCAAAATTCAACAACGTATTTCGCATTATAAAGGTATTAATTAAGAGCAGGATTTACTTCTGACAACAACATTATTGTTTTCTAAATACATATTGTCTCTATAGGGTGTATTTAGAAAGGTTTCTTTGTAACCTGCTTTTACTACAATTTCTATAGTCAACCATAAAAAATTGGGTGCATAAACTGGTGTCGATCTCATTTGTCAATCGTTGAAGCTACGTATGCAATTAATTAATTTTACGTACTTAATATAGTAAATAAGTGTAAATAAGTGTAGCATCCTTACGTAAGTGCACATCAATTGATCGGTATATACAATCGAAAATTGTTTATTAAAGTTCGGATTTAGATCCTTGTTTTTTATTCGTAAATGCACTTATCTATAAGGGATATTTTCCACCAACATGCATTTACTATAAAGGATTGACTGCAGAAGGATAAAGGATATTCATCCGGCGTTTTCTGTTGACCGACGTTTGAAATTTTACAATCTGAGTTCACAGGTTGATCCGATGCCGGTACTGGATTTAAAATACAGTATGTCCGGATGACGCGCATAAAAATTGTTAAGTTTCAAACAACGGTCAAGGCATGCAGATCCAATAAATATATATATTTGTGTCAATTTAGTGGGTCCATATTATTTCACCGACCCAGGTGAAATTTAGTAAAAATATATACCTGCAACTAATCAAATGCTTGACCTTAACCCTGTGTGATGTCAGCTAAATGAGCATTCGGTGAAATGACTATCGGTGAGTTAATCGGAACCTAATTTCGGATTTAAAATTTCGGATTTAAAATACCGTATATCCTGATGACGCAACCAAGGCTATCGGTGAGTTAATCCTAATTTCGGATTTAAAATACAGATGACGCAACACCGGTCAAGGAATGCAAATATAAATGTTGGATAACTATACGAAGTACAGTATACATTTTATTTTATTTATGTCAATTTAGTAGACATGTATAAAAACGGGTAATTTACTCAAGTTTATTATTAGTTTATAAAATTTTACAACTTCATTTTAAGTTATATTTATTTTATATAGTAGCAGATGCGTTCATATAAGATGATCTTTTAGGCACAGAAGCATTTACGAAATAGCTGATAAGATCGGTGTCAACTGAAGAATAAATCAAAGTTGGTGAAACTATTGTGTTCTATCGTTATCGCTATAGTGTAACCAGAATGATAAGAAACTCTAAAACAACGGTAATGCGTGACATTAACTTTAAATATTGCCAAATAAAATTGTGGAAGAATTAACATATTACAATGATCTGTTTAAGGTTAAATTTAAAGAAACGTTTTAATTACTGTATTTCATCGTGAATAAGCACAATTCTTTTTCAAATTTTTGAGCCCAACTTTTTCGGGATCATCCTGAATCGTTAGAAAATCAAAATTGAAAATATATACCAAAAAAAATTTTTTTTTTCGACGTCAATTTATATTAGAAACATGTTTCCAAATTGTTAATCTGACACATATCTTCGTATATGGACTATGAGTATTGATCACAGGTAGAACAATAAACCTTTTTCACAAATATTCTTTCAAAAATATTTGGTGCGACATGCAATTTTTCTATTATTATCGAACTTTCAGTATTTCTTTCACATGTAATATAAAAAGTTGGAAAATGTTTAGAAGATATTAGAAAGGTTACGTAGCACACCAAGGATTTTTGAAAGAACATTTGTTGAAAAGGTTTATTGTTCTACCTGTGGATAATCATGATATACAATATCTGATATATCGATATTACTGCATTAAATAATTACCCTAAATAATAAACGTGAAAATTTAACGTTAATGTATAAAAATTAATTAAAAATTCAAGCTTTAACGTTATATGGTAATATATAGTAATTTTATAATAATTAATTCTTTAATAACAAATTTAATAACAAATATTTTATTACAGTTAATAAACAGCGATAGGAGCAAAAGTTTTAAAAGTTATTAATATCGATATATATATTAATAAATATATATAAAAATAGCTTATCATTTCTCATTTGGCCGGTGCAATTTGGGGCCCCGTTCTACGTAAATCAAAAATTATTTTTAGATTTTGATTATTAATATCACATGATAAGATTTTATTATTTATTTCCAAAAACAGTTTTTAATAAAATTGTACTCTCTGAATTGATAAAAAAAGAAACGGACATTTTTTTCCTTGCGTGTTGGTCTTTTCTAATCGACCATTTAATACACAAATACTTAGAATGATGCATTGTGCTACTATGAAAATGTCATATATATATGCTTACCACTTGCAACACTCGATTATCCCCACTTTTAATTCTTAAAGTCAATATATTGTATTTTCTTCTGGTTTGCTACGAAGGATCTTATAAGCTTATTTTCTTTAAATCTTGGCAAAGCATTTATTGGTTTTATTAACAAGGATCATCAGAGTGCTTGATGCCACATTTCTCACTTTAATAATATTTCCGCTTTGTTATAACATTCGAGTTAAATAATAGGCTCGGTATTAAAAAAAGATTCTCGGTAAATAGAATATGAAACGAGGACATCATTTTTTAGGATTAGACGATTCGCGTAATAAATTACCTCGTTACTATAATAGTGTTGGCAACTTAGATCGGACATTTCCTGTTACCATGCGTAAAGAACGAATCATTCGGATTATTTTACTTTTAATTACTTTAATATTTGTATCTATTTTCATATCTAATGTTCTGTTATCCCCTATAAGACGTTCTCATAAATCATATGAACAAATCCACATTTATCGAATCATTGGTAATGACCTTCCTCCACGCCATAAAGTTGGACAAGTTCTCCAAAATACTCGTTTTATTTTAGAAAATGAACCTGATTTTCCAAATTCAAAAAAATGGTGGATAATTAATCGTATTGTTGATAGCGATTATGAGAATGCAATAATTGATTTACTAAAACAACATAAAAAAGATTTTATTAGAATACCTTTTGATGTGAATGAATATCTTAAAGCTGATTTTCGTCTGGAAGATTTCCCTGAACCTGATTTCCTTCATTCTTATGAATTTATGAATTTTACAAAAGTGGCAAAAATAAGAACGATAGATTATACTTATCATGATAAGAATCTTTACGTCATGAATAATGTAGGTTGATTGATATTTTTGTGTCATTTATTAATATTAATTATATTTTATTTATTAATATTAATTATATTTTCTTTATTAATATTAATTATATTTTATTTATTAATATTAATTATATTTTATTAGAATGGTGGCCGAAATATAGCATTAATGCATGGTCAATCTCAGCCAAATGCTCGATGGATATTCCCTTTTGATGGAAATTGTTTCTTGACTAATAATGCATTTACGGAAATTACGTCTCAACTTGAAATATGGGGCAATGATTATAAATATTTCGTGGTTCCTATGGCAAGATTATTAAATAATTCGGAATTATTGTCCGGTTCTGATCAAAAACCGTCAACTCCTGAGGAACCTCAAATCATATTTCGTTATGATGCTGAGGAAAGATATAACGAGAATATGCGCTATGGTAGAAGATCGAAGGTAGTTATAAAATATAAATATAAATATATATATATATATATATGTATATATGTATATGTCGTGCTTGTAGTTGACATTCACTTGGAATTATAACTGAAATAATAATTGCATGCGAAAAAATCCAACTTCAAGGCTTAATTTGATTAAAAAAAGAATATAGGTTGGTTATCGGTTAGGCGTAACTTTAGACCGTTAACTTCAGGCACAACACACACACATACATATATATATTAATATTAATCAATAATGTCAATTGATACATTGTTTAATATGGTTATTTTATTCTATTTTTTTTTTTTTATTATAGTTGGAAATGCTATGGCGACTAGGCGTTCCAACTCCAACCAAATTCATCGTCAGACCGGTTATTCCGTGGGAAAATAATGATGATTTGTCGATTCACACATCAGCAAACCGGTACATGATAGTCGGCTGGATATACCGATTATTCTCTGGACAAGCTTCGCAAGAGTTAAGTCACAAAGAAGCTGGTGCATTAAGAGCATTTAATCGATTATTAGCTATTCAGGAGTTAATCGATGGTATAGATGAACGAATTGCAAGAAATAATAACCATTTTAGTCCTGATAATTTATTTTTATATAATGAAAAGTCACTAAATAATGCAAAATTAAAATATTGGTCTGGTAATGAAAAGATTACGAGGATTGTCGATATTCTGTTAGATCGTGCTAATGAGATAACTTCTACTATTTCCGATTTTTATGGAGTTGATGACTTCTTATCTATCAAAAAATCTAGTATTCTAATAGAATTCTTAAAATTCAAGACCGATCTTGAGACAAATTTACTTGATGGTGAATCAAATGAAATGCCTGATCATGTCTCCTTGACTTCTCAATTATTTCAAAATATTACAACTTTAACTTTGGCTAATTATTTTTCTGGAAACTCTTCCTATGCACGATGGGCCGCAAATCTTGTTCGTACATTTTTGTTATCATCTTATGGTGTTGGTGATGATGATAAAATTACTCTCCCGGAATATAATGACAATTGTATTAATTGCAATACAACTGTTGATGAAGGTTATGGTTTTCCTTATTTAAATAAGATTCCACGTACAATTCCTAAATTGACTAAAAATTCGGAATCAAATGATGACTCTCCGATGTTTTATAAATTACCTAAGGATATATCTGAGATTGATCCATCTTACTTTCTGGATTCATGTAAATTACTTTATCGGGTAAAAGCATTAACTCATAGAGAATATATAGAACTTAAGGCACTAGTATCATATTGGCTCGAGTATTTAATAACTTCACCGGAAGGCATTTCTATGGCGCGCAGGCCGGACCATAGAGGAACTCTTTATGATCTTCAAATCCTTTCTCTTTCTGGATTTATTGATGATGTTAGATTACATTTGAGAGTTTCTAATCGATTAAGAATGAGAATAGGAAAACAATTTTATATAGCTCATGACGCATCATTAACGAACGCTGCTAAAATAAGTCAACCGTATGAAATGATGTATGTTAAAAACATGATCACGAATAAACAAATTAAACCATCAGCTTATGAAGATTATGTTTTCAAGTATAAATCTTTGAATTTACAATATTGGATGTTGATTACAAGGACAATACAAAACGTTAAAATAAGTAATGATTTATGGTCATATAAATCAAAGGATGGTCAAAATTTGTTGAAGGCTATAATAAGTCATCTAAATAAATATTCTAATAAATATTTACATACTGAGGGGGATGATTTATTTTTACTGAAACCTTTACTGTATATTGCGTGTACTGCTCATGAAACTGGTTCGATACAATCACAAAAGAACAATGAACATTTGCAAAGAATATTGAAAAAATTTAGTGAGAAATATTCATTTGATTATAGTGATAAATCTGAAAAAAGGAAATATACGGATATGAATGTTGGATTAGGTAGTGAAATAGGGAAAAGTGGGATTCCTCCATTCTGGATGTTTGGCATAGCATAAAAAAAAAAAACAATTTTTAATTAAAATTTATTGGTTTATTTTTAATGTATATTTTTAGCACGGTACATCTTTTTTTGGTAATATTTAAATTAAAGAATGTACTATTCAAAAAAACCTAATTTGTAAAATCTACAATTCTCTTAATATTATCTTCTAAAAAAAAATACATTATAAACTTTCACTAAATGAAGATATATATATTTTTTTTAAGCTAAATAAATAAAATAAATAAACAAATTATATGCGGATAAAATTTGAAATATAAATATCTCTGATTGCATGTTGACAAAGTCTTCTTTTTTTTTTATCCATTCAAAGGAGGAGGAAATAGAACTTCACGAATGTTATTCCACAATCCTTTATCGTAGATATTTTTGAGTTCCGATAACCTCTTTACCTTCCTTCCAATTTGTTGATTATTACTATTCATTTCATTTTCATTATTTTCTCCTTTGTCATTATCTTCATTATTTTCTCCTTTGTCATTATCTTTATTATCTTCATTATTTTGACGTTGTTTTAAATCACGTGGTTGTATAAAATAAATTGCAGTTGTTTTTCCCGACGCTTTTTCGTTGGCCGCTTCTCTTTTAACCGAACTGCCAGACTCATTACTTTCTAATTTCTTTGGTGAATCATCTGATCCTTTTTCATAAACCCAAAATTCTCCTGCCATGATAATTTCATCTATATCTTCCCATTTGAATGACTCGTTTGACGTTGTACCGGTAATTATCAAATAAAAATGATAAAGCATAAATATTAAAATAACCCCACTAACAAGAGCGGCGAAAAGTCCTAAAGCACCAAGAAGTCGTTCTTGATGAATTACGAACTTTTAAAATTGGATAGTATGCCTTAAGATTTTTGTTGTGAAAGAATGAAAATAACGAATATAAAGGGTAATAAAAACTTACTAATACAGTTTGATAACTAGAGATTGGTATTCTCAATCCTTTTGAATTATATACAAAAAGAGTATGCAAGTTCATTTCCTTTGCTAGGCCATTAAATATACAATAAATCAAATATGCGCCATAAACACAGATTTGGAATGTGGCATATAGAAAAAGAACAAAATAGCGATGATTCCTTAAACCAACACAATTATTGATCCATGCACCTATAAAAATGTGAACAACATTATTTAACATTTCATTTTTGTAAGTAGAAACCGGATCAAATATAATACCATAATTTTCGGTAGACCCCATTAACAAAATCAATTGATATATTTGATCCGTAGAAATCCTTTAAAAAACTTACAGTGATGATCAAATTTAGCTACACAAGCTTTACATAGTGAACAATGTTTTGAACGTGCAGGTCTGTAAATTAATAAAATATATTGTTAATTTTATTTATAAAGGTTTTTCATAATTCTATATTTGATAATAATAAGATATTACTTTTGCAATAAACAAGTTCTACACGGTTTTGGTCGAAATAATAAGAAATCATACTCAAACATTCTACTAGCCCTAAGCTCGTTTTCCTTGGTTATTTTCCCCGGGTCACTGAGGCTTGCTATAAAGAATGTGGCGTATGTAAAAATAATCATTATCGGAACAATATATCTAAAAAATTATTATTATAAAAAAAAAATAATTAAGATACAATCAAAATAGTGAAAATCAAGTAAGCAAGCATTTGATCGTTTGACACGTACACTACTTACACGTGTATTTTGGAGATATAGGGCCCTGGAATATGAGGCCATGCGGTTATATAGAATGAATAAATGGATCCCGTCAACAAAGATAAGTATACAATCTATATGATGAAAATACATTATATATTTATAAATATATAAATATATATATATATGTTTAGATGACTTTCATAGATTACTAGAAACTTGCAGTGAAAACTCGAATATTACTTGTAAAACTGGATTTGTTTCTTCCGCAAGGTACACATATAATCGATCACATGTCCGTGATACACGATTTCCGAAAACCTTTCGAAAAGTATACCTAAATTAAGAAAATTGATCAATCCATAAATTCAGGACAAAAAATAAACCTGCTAACAATAAAGATGCCAACGATATAAACCCTATCCATTCGATAAGTGTAACCGTCAAAAAATTATGTATTCTACCGATTGGACCCTGTCTATAGTGGAATAAAAAGATGCAAAGATATGTAAAACAAAGAAAAACCTGCAGAAATCGAAATTAAGTAATAACCTGAAACGGGGAGACGGCCCTAATAATAGTATAAAAACTAAAAAGCCAAATGAACCGAGATATATTGCAATAACGAGGAGTGGATCCTGAATATCACATATTTTCAGAAACAAGTGAACGTAAAGCAAATTGTGTATACAGAAGCTGCTTAAACTTACCATATCACTTTATTACATGAACTTTTTTTACTCGATATCACGTTGATCAACCAGCATTAAAAGTTTTCAATACGTGTGTAACATAAATGACATCGTACAAAATAGTGATATCAAAAACATAGATATCAATTGCAAAATCGGGTTAAATGTTGTGTAACATTTTTTCAGTCTATAAGTTGCCGCTTTGCGTATATTAACGTAACTATTTCCCCGGATATTTTTACAAAAAAAAAAAAAAAAAAAAAAACCTTCTAAGATTTAATGAATATAATATTTTGACATTTTTATCTTTTAATAATTAATCTATTTATCGACTAAATGGCAAC